GGTCTATTCGAGTATTAATTACTTCTGGCTGGAGATATGCTCGGAAACGTGAAGTCAGCTCGGAGATTCGTCGGGTTTCCACCGGAACACCGACCGAGGTAGAGAGTGAGAGGAAGTACTTTTCCGGCGACGGCGACGGAGACACGGAGAGAGTCGACGTGGAGGTGGAGATTGGTCGGTTGGAGTCGCGGTCTGCCGAAGAGCTTCGAACAGTGGCAAACTGGTGATTTCGTTCGGCTGGAGTTATCTCAATCTGGGACTCGTATTACTCCCTTAGTTAGCATAAGATACGAACAAAAAATATGTTCAACTCTCTCTCTCTCTTACAACTAAAACTCTCTATTCTCTTTTATGTGCTACTTGCTACTATTTTAAGCTAGTCGGCTGCAAGCCAAGGCTAACTACTGCGCCTCTCCTATTTCTGCTTTGTGTTTTTGCTTTCTTCACTTCACTGGTATGTTCTAATTCAGATTTTAGTCCTCAAACCAACATATTTCTGATATGGTCTTATTTACTATTTTTGTTGTTCAACATGTAATTAGGATCCTGAATTCCCTCTACATGTTAAGTTATGCTTTACTTGTCAATGACCAGCATGTTTCTATACTTAGTACATGTTTCTTCTATGAATCCCCATGATTGGTATGTTAGTTTGATCATGGTCTTAGTTGTTTGGTGTTGATATGTTAATCTAATCCAATACCCTACTGTCCCCCTAATCCTCTGAACATGTATGAGTTTCTGATTGTGTGCTCGTATATGTTCCTGCCCGCTACATGTTTGCCCTCACATGCTCCATATTTATCCCTCCAATCCCATTCTTTTGCTTGTATTTGCTGGACTATTCTTGGTCCTTGGTGTGATGCTGACTTTGTTTTGGTTCTGAGATTGGTATGCATGCTCCTTCAAATTATTTTCATCAGTTAAACTTTGTCATAAAACTATTCCAATTAAGTTTCTCTTTTCAAAATTGTTTCTTACTTACCCTTTTTCAAAACTGTTTTCTTACTTAAACTCTTCAAAACTATGTCGAGCACTCTCACTCTACTCTTAGACCACTAAGTTATACCACCTTTTGTGTGAGCATTGCCTTGGGACCCTTGATCTCCCTCTGAACTTTAACACACAAAAGTTGGTCTTTCCACACTACACTTACTCTATCTTGGCTATAAAATCTGGGTGTGAGCACTGTCCAGGAGCCCTTGAGGTCCTTAGGGAACTCTGACACACCCGGATTATAAGAAAGGTTGTGAAACAATACTTGGCAGTGAGGACATGGAGACTTGGGCCTATTATGTAGGCTCCCTATAAGTAACTTCTTATTTTTTCTTTATTCTCAATTGTGTAATTCCTATTCAAAGGCCTGTAATAATTATTTGTAAACGACTCTGGGGTTGGATAGTGAAAAGGGGTGGGTAATATGCATGCTGTAGTATAATCCAGGGTAGAAATCATGTTCCTGGGTTTACTTTCTCTGTGCGCAATAGCAGCCATGTTTAGGTACAACATGCCAAGCATGTCGTGCATTAGATATCATGCTATTTAGGATTTATATGTCCTTTTTCAACATCGCATCCACACTTAGAAATCCTGTCTATAGGGTAGATAATAACAATAAAATAAGCTGCTATTATGTAATTCTGCCCATGTAAATATGTTCTGAAATTTCACTTAGAAATCCTGCTTTAGGTAAACAACATCAAAACTGTCACTCCAACCCATTTTGAAGCTGTGCATAATTTGATGTGCATTTAGAAATCTTGTTTAAGTTATTATGCAATATGCTGCATTAGACATCATGTTATAGGATCGCACTTATTCAATTACACTAGTCTAAATACAGATGTATAAACAGTCCTCCTGTTCTAAACAAAGTGGTAATTAGTCTATGAATGTTTGCAACATTTAGAATTGCATGCTACTAGATATAACAACATAGGATTATTAACAAATCTGAATAACTGCTACATATTATTTTATGCCTAGGCAAGCCTTAGGTAATCAACTTTAAAATAAAATCAGAAACGTCTTTGTATTTAGTGTTTAACTGTCAACATGTTAAAATTAGTAGGCAAGCCTGATTAGGACTTCCTCTCTGAGTTATGTAATAAATCTGACTCTGCTGTTATCACTTAGATGTCACGCTTAGGATCTGAATTTAGATCTTAGTTATGTATGTGTCATGTTGTTTATGTGTACTATGTGTGGAGGTATATCTAAGCCTTTTATTTGTCTTCCATGCTCCCTTTTAATTGAAGTTTTATCTGTTTATTATGTGTCGCTTTAGTGTTTTACCTTTAAACTTGAGGGTCTGTCTAGAACCCCTTTTTTATAGGATAAGAGTCATAAATTCCTCCGGAACTGATAGGAAGAGATGGGTAACGGCATGCAATAGGGGTCGAGACCAACCCTTGCTTTAATTACTTTCATGGGGTGGGAAAGGGTAGATACGAATATGATGACCGGTGCGTTAATACAACGTGTAGCCCCTCTTTGATGAGTGTCATACCGGATATTGCATTGAGGTGATCCATATTATAAACAAACCTAGGATACCCCTTTACATTCACAAATATGCTTAGAGTGTAATTCTTTTCAAATCTAGCTTTTCATTAACTATTTTTCGAACATCTGTGTGCTTAAACTTAAATCCCCTATTATTAGAGCCATACTTGTTTATTTGCTAAATTGTACAAATCCACAAAAGCTGTTTGGCCAGGAACCATACTGGTGGATCCTGAGAGGTGCCTAACATCTTCCCCATAGGATAATTTCAAACCATTACCCTGTCTCTCATTACCAAACATAGTTATAAATGAACCCTCTAGGTGCCCTAACGCACTTTAAATCGTTAGGTGGCGGTTCTTCAAAATGCAAACCCATTTCCCAAAAGGAAAGAGTTATCTCAACCAAAATGTCATAAACCCGATTTCGCGAGAAAAAAGGGGGGCGCAACAGATCAATCAAATGTAACAAAAAGGAATAGCTAATTTAGAGAATGTGAGTTGAAATTAGAAAGTAAACTAGTGAAAAATATGATGAAAGCAAAATAGAATTGATGATAAGGTAAATATATTATTCGGAAAAGGGTCAATAATATCCCTTTTAGTATTAAATATTGTTTAAAATTATCCTTCATTACTATTCAATCAAAAATACCCCTACCGTCTTACTACTAAACAAATATACCCCCAAATTAACGGAGGGGCCATGTGGCGGCATTTAAGATAATTGGTCCATCTGATATTATTTTTAAATTGGACCCAATCCAATACCCGCTACCCGACTTAAAAATTAGACCCAGTTAAGGATTAACAGCACGCTCCTCCTGGATCTACTTGCGGAGCTCCTCCATCTTCTCCTATTCGGCCTCATTCTTTTGCTCTGCTTTCCATCCATTTTCAGTGTTCTGAAGACTCGTCGTGTGCCATCCCTTCTTATTCAAAAACTTAAACACCATCGGAATCTTACAAGATTTATAGGGCTTAGACTGTGAGATAGAGAATTTCTCTCTTGCTTATATGTAATACCTGCACATCACAGAAACCAAATAGGAGAATAAATCAGAATGCAAATAAGTAGATTTAGTTAGGATTTCTGACACACTCAAAATTCATTGATTCCAAATTCTTATGTTTCTTCTTTAAATAAATAGAAAAAAATCGCAGAATATTTATTAGTAATAGTTCAAGGGGATATTAGTACCCAACAAAACCTTGAAGCAATTACAACATCGAAATCAAATAAGCACGAAGAATTAACTTTGACAAAATAAAAAAAATGGCTTGAGGATTTCCATATGCAGTAAGAGTAGATCGAAAAAAAAGAGAAGGAATTAATACCTAATTTTACCAATTAAGGAACAACTTTAATTAGGGTTCTAGGGAGAGTCGATAGAAAGAGAGTTAAAGAAAGGAGATCTACAGCTTGATTCGGGGGAGAAGGAGATCGTTGTAGCTCGCCGTCGGAGTATTGGCAGCCTCGCAATACTGGTTCAATTGGTTCGAAAAAATGTGATCGCAATTGGCAGACACATCCCCACGAGCGAAAAAATTAGGGTTTAGGTTGTTAATCCTTACGCGGGTCAATTTTTTTAGATCGGGTCAAGTTCAATTTGAAAATAATATCGGATGGACCGATTGTCTTAAATGCCGCCACGTGGCCCTCCGTTAACTTGGGGTATATTTGTTCAATAGTAAAATGGTAGGAGTATTTGTTTTTATTTTAAAATAAATAGTATAATGGAGGATAATTTTAAACAATATTCAATAGTAAAGAGATATTTTTGACCCTTTATCGTATATTATTTAATTTAGCAAGAGAAATTTTTTATTCTATTAACACATTCAATTCTATCTCTACCAAATTTAAAATTTAAATAGTTTATTAATAATTATATAATTATAAATTACATACATATTATACAATAATATAATAGTAATTTATATTTCGGAAAAGGGCCAAATATACCTTTCTACTATAAGAAAAGGTTTAAATATACCCTTAGTTATACTTTCGGTCTATATATACCCCTACCGTAATACTATTGGTTCAAATATACCCCTCTTCTGTTAAGTTTGTCCAAGGTGAACATCCAATCTTACGTGACACTTACATTTGATGAGGTGGATGCCATGTGGCAAAAAATCTTCGCTCGATGATTATTTAGTTTCTCCTGTTACCTTGTTTCGGAAAATTTTATTTTGTGTCTCATACAACTAACATTAGTTGTATGAGACAACTTTTTTATCTCACAGTTTTGTGGACCCAAAAGTGTAAGATTGAGGTCCACAAATTTATAAGATAAAAATGAGCCTCATACAACTAGTGTAAGTTGTATGAGACACAAAATAAAACTTCCCCTTGTTTCAAAGCTAGTGTCACCTCAACACCCCTAACCCATTTTATCCCTCCCCTATATTTGATTTTCCACCGCTAAAATATTTAATAATATTATTTATACAATAATATAATATATGTATGTAATTTATATTTTGGGGCTAAAGGCAAGGGCTTCACTTGCCTTACCTAGAGCCGCCCTTGTCTTTTTTGCAATCTAGTCGCAGTCATGCTCGCTGCTAGACTTTTCGGGAGGACATTCTTGGCGGCGGCAAAATCAGAGAGTTCAGTCGCTGCAGCTACTGCTTCTTCTGCTACTTCTAGAACCCTTAATCCACTCGAGCAGTTCTTTGAAGTTGATAGAACCCCAGAGGACGATAAGCCTGTTGTCTATGGTAAATTCCCTTCCATTTTCTCCTCTGAAATTGGTTGATGGCATAATTGGTTATACCTCTATTAAAATGATCAGTATTACTTTCTGCTTCTGTAACGCATGTAAGATCAAAGTACAGTTATTGGTCTTTAAAAAGGGGTTATTTGTTCTGCTGGTATGCAAACAAGTGAAATGAGTTAAGTATAGCATATCAAATGGATGGGCTACCCATAGGTCCAGCCTAGTTGATTCCTTTTTCGTTTTCTCTCCACTATCCTTTGACATTTGTTTGTTAGTTCTTTGGACGGGGAAAGCTACTGCAAAAATAAATGTGTAACTGAACGAATTAGTTGTTCTGCAAGTGCTAAACACTAAACTGCTGCAATGTAGTGGAAGAGCGTCTGCAACTTTTGATTTTTGTTGCTGATAGATGATCTCGAGATACTTACCTCTTGGCCAAAATTCACTGAGATGACATCCGCAAATGAACTATGTTTTGTGAATTGAAACCATGCATCAGGAATACCACCTTTCAGATGCTTTAAAGAAGCTACACAACCTGAAGTCAGCTAGTCCAGAAAGTGAAAGTCTAGTTGTGAAGATTTAAGATCATAGCATGCCAGATGTTTAAAAAGAAAAAAGGAATTTCTGGTTTCAAAATTCAAATCAAAGTAAAAGGTACTCACTCGGTGACGTAAGTTGTGTACAAGCAATGTATTTTTTCGTTGTTGGGAAAATGAACACTATTTTGACTCAAGGGAAGCACAACAACTCTAATAAGAATATTTGCTCCACTTCTAGGGTTAGAAGGTAAGTAGCTAATAAGTTGGTGCAAAATTTTTCAGGGCTTTGAACTTTCTCAAAAATTATCAGGGCTTTGAATATGCTTTTGTATTAAGAAGTGATGAATTGGTGTGTGATCTTAGATTGTACCTGTACATTACCACAATATGACACACTCATTTTGCCATCTCTGTTTTAGATACAAAAAGGTCCTCGTCCAGAGCATCACTGTATAGTGTCTCAATAACAAAGTGATGTTCTTTCTTTGACTCTAATTTTATTTTATATCTGGAGTATCAAATGAATAACGTGTAAACATGCATAATTGTGAATCCTATAGCATTTATCCAAATTGTATCCACTATCTTTTTAATCTTTTCTTTCATTCTAAATGTCCTTTTACATGAACCTTTATACCTCAATTCTTGAGTTTTTAACTCAAAACATCTCCAATGTTTGCTCGTAACTGTAAATACATCCTTAATGTATCCTTGTTAACAGACGTCCAAAAACCAACAGCTGTCTTTGCAGCATTTACTGCATTTCTCTTCCTTCTCCGTGATGGTGCTTTTAAATAGTCTTGCTTATTTTTGCATTTTTGTCTTCTGGAATATATTTGAATTTAAAGTTTGGTCTTGTGTTGTTAATAAGAAGATTGTTTATGTAACTGTCAATGCACTGCTAATGGTTCTCTGCTTCTATTGTTAAATGTTTTCTCTGAGTTGATTCCATGCTTGAGTTGCAGTTCAATTCTCTGCATTGTTAGAGCATTTTTTTCCTACTGATACATGGATTGCTCACTCCTTCAAAAGTCACATACCAACAAAGCATCTAATCCTAAAAACCCAGTGAAAGAAATCAAACAAGACATGCTCATTTTTTTGCCTTTTTTTCTTCTTGCACAGTGTTTGCTCACCCAGTTTTTTAAAAAAAGTGCGCTAATGCCATTTTCTTTCCAAAAAATATAAAAAAATCACATCATGAGCATTTTCTCAGTTGCAACGCACCAATGGCTTTGTATTATTGATGCATCACAGTGTAACTTGATTAAATTCAATGATCCAAGATGAGTTATAGAAAGAAAAAGAAATAATTAGACCCACTTGAGAGCTTGAATGGGCGAGATATACTACAATTTGGGTTTGAAGGATTCAATATAATGTTAGATGTTATTAATTTCCGTTGTCATTCTTATGGTGCTTCTGCTAGCTCCTCCTTTGAGTATTAGCTAGGCTAATGTCACACTTGAAGGTCGGTGGCTAGAAACAAATGTTTTTAAGGGATATATGGGTGATTCCAGAGGGTCTGGAGCTTGGAGGCCGCCATGGAAGAGAGCTTGAGTTTTTTATTTTGTCCCAGTGCATCTCTCATTGCTCTATGGGATTGCTCCCCTATTAAAACCAGTTTGGGAAAGAAATTGGGATGCAAAAATTAAGAAAGCCTAAGAGCTGAGGCTGAGATAAACAAGTACATGAGATTCGGAAATACTCACATGAAAGTCGATTATGTTGTTGGTGTAATTGAGGCTTATTTTTACAAATTGAGGAAGAAATGGAACCATGCTTGTTACAAGGAAGAGGCTCCAGCATGTGACAAGTTGGTTTCTGTTAGTATTAGCAAGGTTGTCAACATTTGGGCAGAAATGGTTTATTTTTTTAACACCAGGGATGTTTTCTGTTAACATGCATTAAGGATGTACTTACGAGCAAACATTAGGGGTGTTTTGACTTTTGAGCTAAAAACTCCTTAATTCTATGTAAAGATTAGGGATCTTTCATTGTGTTTCAGTGGTGGCTATTTCATTGTTGAAAATTAACCTATCAAAAAAAATTACTGATGAAGGTTGTTTCTCTGTTGGAGTAGTTGGTTATTTACGAATTTGCATCCTGCTTATCAGCTTATGATTTAGTTGCATGCCAAGTTAGGATAAAGTAGCCAAATAGTTCTGATAAAAAAAATGATTATGTTACCCAAATAGTTATCCTCACTGTGGAGGAGAGGTTGAAGCTCATTATCCTATGTGGTTTCAGTGGCATTCGTGCCTCAAATGCTTAAAGGTATTCTAGTTAAATGCACACTAGCGACTGAGGTTCTGTATGCTGAGTGACCGGCTGGTTAAATAAGGGAACGTTTGGTTGCAAAATGCAAAGCGGGATATCCAGGGATTAATCCTGGGATTGTTATCCCACATCCAATGTAGGATAGCTACTACCACCATTTTGGTATAAAATTTCTACCAGTATTAGCTAATACCGATAACCAAACATGAGATAAATATTATTCCAAATTCTATTCCGGGATTATAATCCCTTAAGTTTATGCTTGTGCCATTGATCTATATATATCTAGCGGGATAAAGTCTGAAGTTTTAAAATGATAACCAGGTCGAGGTTGGAAGGCTTCTGAACTGCGTCTGAAGTCTTGGGATGATCTTCAGAAGCTATGGTATGTTCTTATGAAGGAGAAGAACATGTTGATGACTCAACGCCAGATGCTTAATGCTCAGAACCTGCGATTTCCTAATCCAGAGCGTATTTCCAAGGTAAAGTCAGTTTCTTTAATAAGCTCCTTTTCATAGTTTTGATTTTGTTCTCAACTGTCAAACATTTATTTACCGTTTACTTCTTCTAAATAGGATGTATCAACTAGTCTCTTCACCTATTTCTGAAGTAAATGTCCGAACTCTTCGTATACATATAAGTGTTCACTTAATTGGATTTGCTTGTTAAGACAATACTCTAATTGCCAGGTAGAAGTAGAATTTATATGCAATATAGGTAGAATTTTTTTCTAGATTTCCAGAACATAACATGTGCCCAAGATTGTCTGTGTTCTACAATGTGGGGCAAATTTCTAGGGGGGCACATTTCTTTGATCCACGGTCCTCTGTAAGCATATGTAGTCCTCTAGATACAGAGCATATGATAGAATTGCTTTTTTGGGAATGCCAGAGCTTTTGGTGACAGTTTGTTCTCTCAAATTAATTGATTATCCACATATTCTCTGCTGCACTCTATTGTTTTTTCTGAGAACACAAGTTTTCCTCTGTAATCTTGTAAATTTATTGGTGGCTTGAATTTCGAGGAACAAGAATCAACAAGCCTATATATCCGCAGAGAGTCTGGAACATATAGTTCAAGAAAAGTTGAAGATTACATTTCAGTGAAGTACTGAAGCATAGAGCAGATCTTTTTAACAGTTCAGAATATCTGTAATGTTAGATATGGAAAAGGGTCGGATATACCCGTGTACTAACGCATATTGTCCAATCCTATTCCCCGTTATAAAAATAGCCCTGACGGAAATGACACGTGGCACACTCTGAATGAATGACCCAACCTACCGCTAAAAAAACCTCATACCCACCCCACCCGTTTCCCTTTCTTTAATTTTTAACCAAACCCCTCTTAGCCATTCCCAGTTTCTCGTCCTTCTTCCTCATCTCATCTATACACTTCTATCTTCCTGGTGGTACTAAATCATAAACTCCCTCCGTTTCAATTTAGATGAGGTAGTTTCAAGAAAAAAAGAAAACTTTTGAAATTTGTGTTCTTAAAAGCTTAAGGGATAAAAAAAACTTTGTGGTGCCATGACATTTGTGTGATTATAAAAGCTTCTCATTAAGGGTAAAATGAAAAATTTAAAGTTGAATTATTTCCAAATTTAGAAATGTGTCATTTATTTTGGAACAGACTGAAAAGGAAAGTACCTCATATATTTTGAAACGGAGGGAGTATTAATTTCATATTTTCTGATAACCCCCACGCCTGCAGCCTTGTATTTCAACAACTTGCATTTTTCTTGGTATTATGTCGATTCAGTTATTGGTGTTGGGGAAGAAGAAAAGGCGCAGCTATATCCGTGAATGGATATAAAACCTGCTTGTTTATTTCCCTCAATAGAGTCCAAACACCTTATAAAACCCTTGTTTCTTTCCCACTTTTATAGACAGTTGGGTTGATTGTTTAGAAGCTCAATGCGAAATACTTGTAAACTTTCATGTCGTGCACATTATGAGATGATTCCTTTGACTTATCATATAATGTTAGAAAAATACCCAGATACCTTTAAAGAGTAGTTATTCACTTTGCTAAATCTTATTGTCACAAAATCCAAGTAGAAATAAACAAAGTAAATGCAAAAGAATTTATGCTCCAGACATATATGTGGCAGAATGCGAAATCAGACACCTATTTCTACTTTGCAATGTCGCTAAGGAACTTCGGAACTTGTTCTTAAATCTATATGGGTCACTCCTAGTGGTTTAAGCCTTCAACTGCTGGTACATGTGGAAGGTGCAGGCACACAAAAGAAAGGTGTGGCAGTCCATTCCTGGCTTCACCTTTTGGACTCTATTGAGGGAAGAAACAAGAGTAAAAATTAAAGAAAGGGAAACATGTTGGGTGGGTGGGGTTTTTTAAGTGGTGAGTTAGGTCTTTCATTAAGAGTGTGCCACGTGTCATTTCCGTTAAAGTAAGGGCAAATTTAGAACTTTGATGGACATCAGGGACAGAAATAGCCAATAAGTATAACGTGGGATGGGACTGAACAATATTTGATAGTAAACGGGTATATCCGACCTTTTTTCCGTATTAGATAATCAAAATTTCAGAATTTTGTTGTAATACAACAATAACAAACCTAGTGTAATCCCACAAGTGGGGTTTGGGGAAGGTAGAGTGGACGCAGACCTTACCCCTACCTTCAAGAAGGCAGAGAGGCAGAATTCTGTTGTAATAACTATTAAGAATCCAACCAAACCATGCATCAAAATTTAGGCAAGGCTTGCATTAAAATATAGAAATTAGGCAACTTGAAGTCTTAGGGGCCTATTAACATGTTGTTGGGAAAAGACAGACGTAGAAGTAGAAGAAGCATATTGATTGGCATGAAGCTAAGATCTTCTTCACAATACTTGACCCCTCCTACCCTGGCATTGTGGATCACCCGTTTATCCATATTGCATCCTGCAGACTTATATAGCAACAACTATTACCTTATCCAAAAAATTATAATTAGCAACAACTATTATCACTCTTTAGCTTACAGGAAAAAAAAGTAAAGATGCATGAAGCAACTGAATTACATGCATCACCTTTTAGAATTACTCAAAGTAGTAAAAACAAGCTCTAATAGCCAAAGCAGTATATTTTTTTTCACGATTTTTTGGTAAGCAATCAAACTCATTTGAGTTTAACTCTTTTATTCTTTTAAGACTAGTAAACAAATTGGATTCTGATTTTTTTTTGGTTTACTCTATATTTCATCAATAGACAATTGAAAATTCTACATGTGAACCCTTGAGGCACTAAGCTATTAGAATATTGGTGATGCATGGATTTATCTTACATTAACATATTTGTGACAAATGATTGATATTCAGGTAAGGAAGTCGATGTGCCGAATCAAGCATGTGCTTACTGAGAGAGCAATTGATGAAGCAGATCCAAGGAGGTCCACTGAGATGAAGAGGATGATAAATGCTCTATAATTTCCATACTCATTGGTAATAGTGTTGATGTGCCTTTATAACGGGTATTTGGACCTCCTCTCTTCTATTAGCGCCAAATGTAGGAAAGTCATTAGTTTGTGTTTAGTTCAGGAACAGACATATTTCAGCCGGTAGACCGGACATCGATGATGTCAAACTCTGTGAACTAGTTCACTAGGATGTGATGAAGATGGCAATTTTGTTTAAAAGATTTGAAGTGCTGCATGTGCTGGTCAGTTGATACATGCTTGTGGATTACTGCGACTCTAGTTTGGTAAGGTACAAGTGAAAAAGTTATTGCTGTAATAAAAGGGTGTGCAAGACCACTCTGGCTGATATTTACTTCATTCAATAGCACATCCCACGTTGCTGCGAATTTTTTGCATTTACTCCTTCAGCAGCTCCACATATCGCTCTGGTGCCTTCATTTATTGCCAATAATCAGTCTCACATATATATGATATATGCATTGTAATCACCCACTCCTGACGTTCTCCTTTACCATGGCCGTCATTGTGAGCGCCTAAAAATGGATTGTGTGAAGGGAAGAGGATGATAAGAAAGTTCATTTCTTTACCCTTTATTTTAAGTTATGAATGCATATTATTTGTTCAATATTATCGATGATAAGTTGCCTTCATGTTCGACTAACGTGAGACTCATTAATCCCGACTCTCTTTGGCACGTAATCTACTGGTTTTAATTCATATCAACGTATACATATCAAATTATAAATGAAGCAAGCATATCAATATATATTAAATCAAATACCCAGTGAATTTGAATATTTATACATCTTTAATGGATTTTTTAATATAAATATAGGGTCCAAGCAAAAAAACTATTAGGTTTGTCCGAACCCGTAAATAGTATGTATACTACATATATAATGGATTTTCTAATAAGTACAATATAGGGTTTAAGCAAAAAATTACTAAATTTGTCCAAACCCGTAGACTAAACTCTCCCTCCGCCCCTGAATCAGCTTTTGGCATATACAGTATTCTGATTTCTGAAATGCGTGGTTTGAATTTTGACCCATGTTTATCTCTTCTTGACAAATACACGAATTGGTTGGTGCCGCCTTAAGAAACTTGTTTCGTGCTACAATTAATCATAAATTTAAATCGAAATTTTCCTCGTACACACTCAGTAATAGGCTGCTAGGTTACAACTTACAACTATGTCAACGTTATTGCTCAAATTTAAGAAGCCTTTTAACATTGTGGATGTAGCGCCGAAGCACCTAATTGTATAGTAACTTAGGATCTTGGGACCTCTAAATCCTAGCTTTGGTTTATCTCATAGGCCCAGGCCAGCATCTACTTATGCTTAAATATTTTTCCCTAAACAATATTAATCCCCTAAACACTACTAGGATTAGTATTGGAGTTACCAACTATATCATTTAATGATTGGAGTTTGCATTGTTTTTATCCAAAAGGGTCATAGATAACTCTATATTTAATATAGCAGACGGTATTGAATAAAACCTGATTATAGAGTGATTATAGAGTTGAATAATGACGGCGAATTTAAGTATTATGTTGAAGGATAGGTGAGCTGCCAACTTTGTGCGAGTCTTTTGCAATGAATCTAACAGTCTAAGTAGGTTCTTTACTGTATATTGTACTAACTCCTTTTTCATGTTAATAATTACTACCGTTTACCATTTCAAAGTGTTTACATTTACTTTTTACCAAATATTTTTCCAAAAATAACAATTGTCATGAATCGCCAGTAAAATAGGCAACTAATAAGGCAAGGCACTTCAAAGTTAATCTTTAATCTGAAGGAAAATAGTGGGTGACTTCCTTTAATTTAAGTTAATTACCAATAACAGTTTTACCTTCATAAGTTGAACATACCTTTTGTTTTACTTTATACTTGCAGTAAGAGTTGTAAAAATGTGTAGGCTGTTGGAACTACAAGTTCATTAATTACTCATAGACATACTTAGCAAGAACGTTAACTTAACGTTCACTTAATTCTATATCTTGGTTCTTATGAGATTCATGCAATACTGCTAATCTTTATGTTAATCCACCGACCTCCGGATTATTTCATTTGAAGTGATAAATAGTAGTGAAATTTCACATTAACCTTTTTTTTTTTCTCCTTTTAAATTTTATACAAATTGAAATGTACGATCAGGACTCTCGTAATACAGATTTAATACGAGCATAATTATTCAATTTTGTGAACTTCATTTGAGAAAAATTGAAATAAACAAACTATTAAAAGGCGAAAATATTTACTTGAAATTTTATTTTCTCTTAAAAGAGGCCGTCTGTCATGCGTATTAGTATTTCATCTGTTCCAAATAAAATATTTTGATTTGGCTAGACTATGTATTAACATATTCGTAGAAATTTTGAATTTGTATTTTTTGAGGGAGAACAGGGAAGAATATATTTTTAAAAATTTAATTTTCAATAAAGCATACAATTGACGTGAACTAGGAAAGAGACGGGGAAGTCAATTATTTGACATTAAGAAAGTACAACTTTATCACATACGTAAATTACATCTCACATTCACCATGTATAGTAATTTTACGTATTTTTACAACATATATTTCCATTCAGCTTTTTAAAGATTAATCCAAATTTGTACAAATCCCAAATCTTATACATATTCTAGTTACCATCTAATTTTTACCACAGAAAGAATTTGTTTATATCAAATACAAACTAGATATAATAAAATAAAGTACTTGTGGGATGTAATCATAATTCATAATTGCGCAATGTTTATCAAATACACGTACTCACTTTTGTCAAACAATTAGGAAATACAAACTGAAATTCGTTACCAAATCAATAATTAGTAGGTCGTAACTCGTATGCCTCCATAATGTATTTTTTATTTCATTGAACTATGCGTTAAGAACAATAAAAACATGATTAAGGATACGTTTATTGTATTGTCACGATTTTCTAAGATTTTTGTATGTTTATTGTATTGTCATGGTTAATCTCACTTTTAATTAGGATCACAGCTTTGCAAAACACAATTAAGTATTTTCAAACTAAATTCTAGAATAACAAACATTTTTATTTCCAAGTTTAAACTAGATACACTAGCTAATGTGGCAAAATTTTCAGTGTTGCTTAGGCTTTCTACTTTGTGTTCATAGATTTTGTAGAATTTTCTCTTCTTATACATGAGATCAATGCTTAAATTCAAACATTGCAAATTCAATTAATTAATTTGCTCTCCGACTTAAAGGAACATTTATGGCAAATATTTTCATGGTTTTAATTTGTGTATACTTTAGTTTAGTAATAAATATAAATGTCCGTCACATGTTTGCCAAGTTATGTTCATCTTCAATGTAAACATTTCAAAATAAATAAATAAATAGAAAGTGTAACTACTACTTCAACCTAATCTCATGTTGAATTTATTATCTTATTTAGTTTGTTATAGAAATAATAAAAAAATCAACGTATATAGGAGAGAAATATAGAACTTGTTTTCTAACAAAGAGTAAAGCACTCATTAATAAAAGTTGGCAACTATCAACATACACATTGAATATCACATTTCACACTTCATACATTCAAAGTATAATATCCAAAGCTAAATCTCTTGTTGAACAATTAAAGGGCATTAATAATGTAGAAAGTAGTTATGCAGGATTTAGTTATACGAGAATTAGTTACGTGAGGTAGTTATATAAGATTAGCTATATAGTGATTTTTGGTCGAAAGTAAATTTTTTATTTCAACCAGTTTTCAATATATATCACCTGCACTTTTTGACTCAAGTAGCAGGTCTCAAGAATAACCAAAAAACAAGAATACAACCATATCGTTGTCTATCCAAGACCACTTGAGAAAACATGGATCTTTCTCTATCCTATTTGCTATGAACTGCAAATTAGGATAAATATTCAGTATATTCAATATAGGTCTCCATTTGCATTTTTGTTGACCTGTTATATGCACTTGGATTGTAATGTCTTTAGCTATGTCCTTAGCCTCCCTTTTTGGCTTTGAAATCTTCTGTTATTCCTTTCCATCCAGATATGTACGCCACAACTGCAAAAATAATCCCTAAGGTTGTTTTTCTTGGATTCCTGCTATTGACATTGGTTGATAACCACTTCACTTCAGACTCCCAATTTGTGATGTTTCTTTGGTATCTTAGCCATATCAGCATTCTTTTTCACAAGCTTTTTGAGTATTGGCATTCAAAAAACATGTGAGCATGTATTTATTCAATATCTCTTTCACATAACACACATGATTGGAGAACCTGAATTCCCCATTTTGCGAGCCTGTCAAAAGTAGCTAGCCTTTGTTGTACTGTCATCCATAGTATGACTGGTGTTTTGGCAGAATTCCCGTTTACATAACTAGTGATTTTCATTGACTTTGGGATAACATGGCATAGAATAGATATAGGCCTTCTTGATGTTGAATCTTCCATCAGACACAAAGGAGTCTATCATTGTTAGATCGGATGCCCACCATTCTCTAGCAGAGAATATATTTCTTACTAACCAGCTGGCTTGTTTTGGAGCAGTCATGGTAGCAATATCGTTATGTTTTATGTAGTGACTATGGATCCACCTAATCCATAGTTTATCTTTCTTTGCAGTTATAACCCATAGGAGTTTGGTTAGAGCAACTTTATTCCATAATGCATAGTTGATGATGTTTAGACCACCAGCAACTTTTGGTTAGCATAGAGTTTCCCAAGCAACACGAGCTCTATTAGAGTTGTTATGTACTCCAACCCACAGGTAACTCCTACAAATGCTATTAACTATCTTGATGACCTTCTTTGGTATTAAAAATATGTGCGCCCAATATGTCTGCATTTCAAATAAAATACTCTTAATGAGTTGTAGTCTTCCAACATAGAATAGAAACTTTGAAGTCCAATTTCCGATCCTATCTACAATCTTCTCAACTAATGGCATGCACTGGTGGATTATGAGCTTCCTTGTGGACAGAGGTACTCCATAGTTATATAGTGATTAGTAATACATAAATGTAATGTGGATATTAATTATTATTTGTCTATTTTGTACAATTAAAATTGTTAGTATATTTTAAACAAAAGATATAAAAGTTTGAATAGAGGGTATTCTTGTCATTTTTATATTTTAATTCAAGTATTACTATATACATATTTATTATTCAATCTTCTATCTTGCATAAAATAATACATACATATATATATATATATATATATATATATATATATATATATATATATATATATATATATTCATGTGGAGCTAAACATTGTATTAGCTATGCTATGTTTATGTGAAAAATGAAAAAAAAAAAGAAGATATTGTATAACTTATACTAGATTCGTTGAGACTATTTTTCATATTTTTGTCAACAAATAATATAT